TCAGATGGCAAGTACCATGAGAGGATGTGTACTGCTGTCTGTGGCCTTGGAGAAGTGTTCCATCAAGCCCCACGCGCTGTGCATTCATTTGTAAAGGCTGCCCTCGTAGACAGCCAAGACTGTCCAAGTTCGACCAAGGATGCAAATAACACCTGAATGCCACCCTTGCTGAACTAGAATTATAATTTTCTTCTGCAAACTGCTAATTTTATACTGAACCTGTCTGTTTCACCTGGGGACATTGACTAATGCACAGAAACCGGGAAAAATCTCCATCAGTTCACAGCCATTGCCTGGCAGGAGTTAGGCCTGGTAGATATCAAGTTACGATAGCAGTGTTGACTAATTTAAAGTAAAATTTAATTCCCACACACACCACACCCCCAATCTCATCTCTCATGCTGTCAAATAAAGGCCTTAGCGTCCAGACTGATGGTATCAAAAAAGCACTTAATTAGCTTGTAATAAATTTTCATTTCCTTTCTACAAAGCCTCAACCAAATCCATTAACTGGCACATTTAATACCGGCATTCCATGAGTTTTATTCTTCATAGGTCCGTTGCACTGGAAAGCGCATCTTCAAATGTCAACCATATGCGCACATATAATCCCTACCCTACCAGGGACAATTAAAATGACTGATCTGTTTGTCTGAGCAAGCAGCTAAACAAACAACCGCACAGCAGATGATGAGGCTGCTTACCACAAAGAGGATTTACCCATACACAATTTCTTTTAAAGCTTTGCCTTTTGGAGATCTCAGGTACAGGTGCCTAAAAGAAGTCTTCTCCAAAAGATAGCTATGCACTCCCTTAGAGGTAGAGAAAGGAGCCTGGTCATCTGGCTACGTCTCCAATACATCGAGAGGAGTGAGCATCTTGAAGATGCCCCCTTGAAGCTTCTGTCAAGATGTTCCTGTAACACCTTAAGGAGGCATCTCACACAGGGAAGAGGCCATGATGGTTCATGACACGCCAGAGAGTGCTTTTCTCTGTTGATGTGGCAATACTTTGGGTTTCCCCAATCAGAGAATAAGCGTAACAACAGCAAGGAAGACAATATTTTACATGAAGTTTTCTGTGACAACATTTAGAGTTAGGATACCTAGAGTTAGTTATTTTGAGTTGATGAACTGAATGAACTTGAATGGTGGCTTCATGTAGTGTGAATTCCCTCCCCAGAATGTCTTTATGCTCTAAAGAGGCCTGGTAATGAGCCAGTCTTTTACACCAAGTGTGTTGCAGAAATAAAATAATGTTTCCACATTTGTATAACTTTATTTCCTCCATGAGAGTCAGAAATCTCTGACTCACAAACCACTTCTTTGCTAATCATACTTACTCAGCATTCCAAGACTGGTTATTTATTTCTACCTAAAGAGAGTAACCACACCTCTGAAAATCTCAAATACGCCAGACTATCTGTTTAGATTGTTTTGTTTGTGATCGTTCTTGATGATCATACCCAGAAGAAAAGAACTAAAATAACTAGTAATTTTGGAATCAATATCTCACCAAATCATTATCTTCAGTTCGTTATAAAGATGGGAATAGATAAAGGAGTACAAAACCCTATTAGAACAACTGATTTAGCCTGGAACATTTCAGTTTAGAAAGTTTGGCAGAGAAAACTCGACCAATACTTGATAAAAAAGAGACCTTTGGTGTTCTATCTTCATTTTAGGATTAAATTAAGATTATCCTTACCCAGCAGCTGGTCAGGATCCGACGAGAAACTAGAAATCAATCACCTTGCATGGCACATTTGGCAACATGTGCCAAAATGCCACATCACACCCTGTTTAATATACACACAGTCTGTTGGAGCTGACTGGCAGGAATTCTACAGACATTTGTCTCGCTGCAGGAGAGTACAGACAGTTTCAATCACAGGAAGAAAGAAACAGCTCAAACATGGGCTTCAGTTGGACTGTCATGTGGGTAAACACAAAGAATATGATGCTGGGTAGGATTCGATGATGATGATGAGATGGAGAGTAAATGAAAGAGAGAAGCAAACACCAACAAACACCGCCCCACACACACACATACGTAGACATTCAATGAACTTCCCACGAGGCATAGCTCAGATTCTTGGGTTAAATTTGCATCACAAATATCTTGGATGAGAGCGTTCGCATGAGGAATAAATAAAAGTGAAAAGGGTGCCATTTTTTTCTCTAACCCCCACACAAACATTCATGCCTGCCCTGCTCCCATCTATCCATGCATCCATCCACTCCTTTTTAATAGGCTGCATTCAGCTCGTGACAATACAAGATCCACACCAGAGTAAGCACCCAGAGTGTGAGAGGGTATATGTTTGCGTCTGGATGGAACCAAAGCTGAAATTGAATGTATGCGTCATTTAAAAAAAAAAAGTGTGCATTCTTAAGAGCTTTCTTTTAGCACTTTCCTCCAGTTCTGCTGTCAGTGATAGTGGTTAAGCCAGTTCAAAGATTAAAAAACCACAATGTACTGTTATGTCATATAATGCAGTCAAGAAGGGAAGCAAGTTTCAGCGCGTGACTTTTTGACCATTTTTACTGGTCTTTAGTATTTCCAACAGTCATTTAGTGAGATAGATATGAAAACTGTGATGCTTTATACCAAACAATTATAAACTGACATTATTTGGAAGTCTGCTAAAAAGTGTTGATGGAGATTTTTCTATAATTTTACAGTTTTTCCAATTGTCAGGCCTTCATGAGATTGTGACAAGAGGTAGGACACTCATAAAGCAGTTGTTTTAAAATGTACGGAAGAAAACTCATATCCACTTAGATCTTAGAAAAATAGAGCAAGAAAGTATCACCCAGTCAATTTGTTACTGAACATTCAAATACTTTTGTAAAAATCAGTCTAAAGTAAGACTAAGATGATGCTTTTACTGTTTTATCTTCCCATTAGAGAACTGATTATCAATTTGGACCAGGGGTAGAAAGTATGCATGGATCAAATTGTGTCTTCCCCAGTTCAGCAGTCAAAGTCTGTAGCAAAACTAAGATTTTTTTCAATAAATGTGGATCCAAGTAGAAAAGTGAGAATTTTCGGGTTGTGAGTTACCAAAAAGAGATGTGCTTATTCTTATTTTAAATAACAAACTGATCCTATCTGGACCAGAGCTAGAAAGAGTTAATTGCTCAGTTTTTTTCAGTATATATCTGAAGTGCACTTCCTGAAGTTTAATACTAAACATTAATTAAATTTAAGGCATGCATCAAAACTTTGGGTATCTATATTACCCTAGCTTTACATGCTAGGCTGATGTAGAAAGTAAACATCATTCAACTTTTGAGAAGCCTTAACTGTGATGTACTTTTGCTGTTTCACTATTCACCGTTGTAATTTATTCCATGTGCCAAAAAAAACGGTTACATGTTCTGTGTTTCTTTTAGGCTATTTATGCTGTTTCTTCATGAAAAAAATGTCTCATCCAGATTGACACAAGTTAGAAAGGATGCAGCGTTTTTGTTTGTAACTTTTACAGCTACTATTTCAAATTTTACCTATCAATATAATGCATAAATTAGCGCAAAAAAATAACTGCGCTACAGAAAGTATCCATCGTTCAAGTTGCGTTTACTCCACTTTAGCAGTCAAAATCTTTTATTTTACTAGATTCCTTTTGGTGAAAAACCAATGCAAAATGAGACAATGATCCAAGCTATGTCACATGTGGACCTATGTAGGAAATTTCCTAGGAAAGTTCCAGTTGTGAAAAGGCAAAAGAAAAGTGTACTTATTCTCATTTTTTAAAAACACAAACTGATCCTATCTGGATGCTAAAAAGGCCTAGAAACTATGCATGGTCCTTTTTTCTCTATAGACGGCGCCACTTCATACAATTAAAAGCTAAACGATACTTCAAATAAAGGCATGGTTCAAAACTTTTTTATCTATGTAACTTCCTTTTAATCTTTTTTGGTTAAGCTAATGTAGAAAGTAAACAGCATTCAACTTGTGAGAAGCTTTAACTGTGATACACTTGTCCTGTGGTAATTCACTTTATCTGGACCATGGCAAAAAGGGAAAAAAACAACTTTTGGATGCTCTTACTTCTTTAAAGCTCTTTGTTCTTACTCAGATTGACATGAGAAAGAAAGGATGCACCGTTATTATGGTAACTTATGCAGCTTTTCTTCCTAATGCGAGTTGAAAAATCAACTTCTATGCAGTTATATCAGTTAATTTAAAGTCGAACATGCATAGAAATGATGCATATATCAGGACAAAGGTAACCCAATCACTACCTGCAATAGAAAGTATGCATAGTTCAGTTATTTATTTTGATAAAGTTTCATCAACTTTTTATGTCAGCTCAGTGATCTGTACTGGAGGAAATATTTTAAAGGGCATGCCTTAGATCTTGGTTTTATTGCCACCTATGAATGATTCAATGATAGAAAGTAAGCATGGTCTGAATTTTACAATCAAAGACATCTGTTTAAATTTTTCGACAAAAACAGCACTTTTAAAAAAAGATGAATGCACCACTAAAAAACAACAGCGAGAGATCAAACATCAAGGAATGTACAGCGTGGAATACAAACACCGGTAACTTCGGGATGAATTCACTTTTACGCGCCAGTTCAGGAACATTAAAGCGCATCTCAGCCCAGGGACCCCAACAACAGGGGGTTCTGATGATGAAAGCCGCGTGACTTCTTGTTGTTCTGTCTGAATTATCCCCACTGAGGCTCTGGGATTAAATCTTTACTGTACAAATCTCCTATCACTGCGATGTCATAAATAGATCAAAATGGATACAAATGAATCCATACTGTAAAGAAACACAAGAGAATATGAGTGGATATTTCCTTTTTTTTAGTGGAGCAGAGGGAGATAGTTTTACGCAGCGTAAAAACGCTTCACTGCAGGTGTGAGAGGATCTCGATGATTCTGCTGAGAACTTCAGTTTGATGCGCTGTAAGGAGCCGCGCTTGGAGGCGACCGACGCGCATCCAGACATCAATCCATGCATGCATCCAGGGACTCACCTGACTGCGCCTCACTCCAGCGGATCACCAACAAAGTGACTAAGACGCACGCCTGGAACTTCATCTTTGATCCAAAAAGAAGAAAGAAGAAGAAGAAAAAAACAGCCTTCTTGTCTTAATAACTCCCGTATAAACTCACATGTCCAATTAAGATGTCCTCAATGTTTTCACGCACTATCACTGAAGAAACAAACAGCCCAAAGGAAGAAAGAGGGATATTGAAAGTGTTGGGGGACAAAAGTTTTTTTTTTTGTTTTTTTTGGACGCCTTCCTGCTTTGTTGTTGTTTTTGTTTGTTGGCTCCCAGTCCGCTGTTTAGGTCGCTTTCCGCCGCGGACACTCTGAGCCATTTACTCCCCGCACTGCCATTGCGCCGGTGCCTGGATTGGAGAGGGGAGGGGAGGAGGAGGGGGGCGGAGGGGCGCACATTAGGATGGGTTGGACGTGGTGGGGCGCTCTGCTCACGCCTTTTATTTATTTATTTATTTTTTTTGCCTGATCAACACATCTCTCAGCCAATCACGTCATACACGCTCATCCTAATGAAGCGCGTCTGCGTCTTCGCGCCTTCTGATTGGTTAATAGACCTTACTGCGACCGTCACTTAACCTGCATGGAGCTAGTTTTGTTTTGGTTCCCCGATGGGATCCACGTTTCCCTCGCTGCTATAATCAGATCTACTAAATACATCATAGCCATATAAAAAAAAAAAAAAAAAAAATACCAACCCGGTTAATATATCCCTAACAAACACATAAATTAATATACAATGTAGTAAAAAAAAAAATAAAACTGTAATGTCAAAAAGATTTAGTAAAAAAAAAAAACTAAATGTATTATTTGTCGTATATATGACTTGAAAATCTCTAAATACAAATAAAAACAGACACATTAACTAAACTAAAGGAATTCACAGTCCAAGGGTTAGGAATGAACTGTGGAATCGATGAGACACACAGGTTTATATTACATCCTATGCTGCCCTCTAGCGGACACAGTCGAAAATTGGTCGATTTTAAAGTTTTTGTTCATTTTGTGTGATTATTTAACAGTATTCATATCATATTAAATAGTGGTCATTTGAGTAAATTGATGCATTTCAGATGCTTTTTATTTCTTAGTTTTTGCTGTGCAAATAGTTTTGGAGAGAGAACTTCTTAGTTTTACAAACACTATTATTTGTTGCTGTTTGATGACCTTTATGTATTTGATTTTTATTTATTATAACGGTAGTTATGGTATGCTTTATTTTGTCCGATTCATTTTATTTTAATGTTTTTTTTCTCTATTTTTTCAGAATTTCTTCTTGTCAGGGTACTAACATGTCTTCGAAATGTTCTATCTGACATTAAAAGGAGAGGAATAAAATGTGTGTCACATTGGATTAATAGTTTAGACACAATGCTGGTTTTTACATTGTGTCAGCGATCCTGATCTTTTCCATGATGACCTCCTGCCCTCACAATGCCCAGGCTCTAATTTTGGATCCTGACTTTGTTTTGTCCCCTGTGTGGGACTCAGGGGGCTCAGATGACACACTCTGGTCAGACTGTGGGGAGTGGACTGGGGACTGGCTTACTCCATGAGATCTGCCCCTCCACGCAGCTCTGTCCGTCCAGAATAGACGGCTTTAGTTGAGAATGAGGCCCATGTTTCTGATCTGAAGCTGGTGAGGAGATGAAGTTGGTTTCCAGCATGGCTCAGCTCCTCAGAGTCGGTCTGCTGCTGCTGCTGCTGCTGCTGGCAGGTGAGTTCTCTTCTTTTTATTATTGATCTATGGTATTGCATCTAGAGCTAGGAGAGAGATAAAAAAGAAGAAAAAAAAGTAGAGCCAGCATGAAAAGAGAGGGCGAAGCATTGAAAAGGAGGTAAGGATGATAAGGAATAATGCAAGCTAAAATGTTCCAGGGAACAGAAAGAAAAAAGTTGACAATAACATTGCTTATAATGTCTGTTGTCTGAAATGACGTTTCAGGGGTTTCTTGCGTCTTCTACCCCTTTTGGTCAGATGAGCATATCCTGTCAGACCAGCATACCTATAGTCAATAACGTTTATCCCTTTAGTTTTGTACGAAAAATACACTTTTATCTACCATAATGGGCATATATCCCTTTAGTCATGTACAAAAAAACGATGTAAGTACTTACTTTCTGGTGTTTTTTGACACATATTGTGATCTGACCTTGAATTTTTGTTTTTTTTGTACATGACTAAAGGGATACATGCCCACCGTGGTACTTAAAAGTATATTTTTTGTAGAAAACTAAAGGGATAAACGCAAATCTGACGTCTTGTGAATGCATATTGACTGGTATTGATAGGTATGCTGGTCTGACGAGGTATGCTGATCTAACAGAACACTGGTCTGGAAAGAGTTTCTTATTTTCCATTCTCAACACATTTTCTTTACCATTATGTTTCATTGTAGCATCTATGGTCTCATTCCCTCTCTGATTTAAGCTCGTCATAAATTAATAGTAGATTGTAGAACAATATCAAGCTGCCCCAAAGTGCCCCACCACACCATGACACTCCCACCTCCATGCTTTAATCATTTTTGTTCTTTGCTGTGCAACAAACATGTACTCTGTTTTGACATCCAACTGAAGGATAAAACAGAATCATCATCTTTCAAAATGTTCTTGGCAAAGGAGAAAACTGTTGCTTGAGTTAAAGCGGGAGTTTATATAAAGTGGCAGGCTGTTTTTACCTTTTTTAAAACCCCTCCTCCCTGTTGTTCCATTTGTAGATCACTAAAGTAAGATTCCTCCTCATGAAAATCACACTCCTAGACCTAGCTGTAATTATATATTTTCTAAATTAAATTTTTGCAGTAGAAACTGAACCTTGGACAGTAAAAAAAAAAAAATGATACGAGTAAGAATTATATAAGAAGTTTTTTATATATCTGTAAATGTTTACGCATTTCAAGTGGGCGTTCTGACATTGATCAGAAAGTCAATATGTACATCAATATGTATTAATGATATCTGAAATAAATGTTTTCCTAGTTAAAATTATACAAATGATGACCAGTAATCTTAGGAATAAGGAGATCTGAAATTAAGAATGTTTATTCTAGATGCTGAGAATATAATTTTGTTTGAAAAGGTCTTTTAGACAAATAAAAAAAATGCTTTATCAGATATCTCGAATACATGTTCAGTAAAACTAATATATATGAAAAACAGCTTGCCATAATGTTGCTACCTTTAAATTTCTTGAATGGATCAATGTATCGCTTAGGTGAAATCTTCTGGCAGTAAAAACATTCTAAAATATAGAACCTGTGGATGATCGGATGCATTCCTCCTCATGTTGATTCAGTCTGCTTTTACACAGTAAAGTGTTTGCATGCAGCCGCGCTTCGGATGTTATCATCCAAATAAATGGTTGTCATAAGATGCTATCAATCCTTCAGATTATGCCAGTAAGCTCATTAGGTTGTTATCATTGAGTGGATCCTAATCCTAACCCTAAAGTAATTCCTTTTCCCCTGTGGAATCAATGAATGTATTTATCTGTAATCTGAAAATAATTTCATTAGTTCTTCATGTACTGTAAATATAACTAAATAAACTAAAATTATCTGCATCTCGTTCATTCTAAATAAACCAAACACAAGTAATCTCATGCCCTGTCAGCTGAGTTGTAGAATCCTCTCCCTATAAATATTTCTCTGTGAAAAAGTGCTGACCATTCTTTAATAAGATCCTCTTCAAATGGACATGCAATGTTTTATTTCTTTTATGCACAAAACTACAACAAAAATCTGACTCAATCAGGAAATAAAACAGTGTGATAGGCTGTAAGGAAAGCGGAGACAGACACCTGCAACCGACCAAACTCTCTTAGTGGACCAGAAAAGTACAACACGCCAATCTGTCTTTGACTTTTATCCATGAAACTGATGCAAGACAGCAACACTGGTTGAAAATTTTCATCCCAGAGCAAATCTTGCTGCCCGATTCGGGTCTATGTGGAGTCTGCTGAGGTCTGTTGTACATTTGACCACACAGATTTCATTGAAATTAATATTATATCGCTGAATATGGCAAGCCCTTGTGTGTATTTGTTCTATAAGAGACATATAATAACATTTATTGATGTAAGAAGCTCCAGCAAGTGGTTAAACAGTATCACACCAGGTGAACATTTTATATTTTATGTCATAAAGGAGAAGTTGTTCATTAAGATTCAGGATTTTTTTATTTTTCCTTTTACCCAAAGGAAGCTGCTCTCATGATCTCTCATCATTCTTCTTCGTCTTGCTCAATCTCTTTAAAAAACTCATAGTCTTGGTTCTCCCTTTGAGATTTTGGCGCCCTGCAAGAGCTTGCAGAGTCAGAGCAAACATTACGGGCAAACAGTTGGCCCTTATCAGGCCGGCGCAGCCCGAGATCCACCGCTTTTTTTCTCTTCAGGTCGAAACAACAAGCCGCTCTTTTCCTCCCCTCTGCATAGCATTACATTCAGCCTCAGGCCCAATGGGACGGCTGCGGTCTGCCTCCACATTAAGAGGCTGTTTGCACACATCTCCAAGGTAAACAAATGGGATTGCGACTGATTACAAATTAAAATCTTTTCTTAGTGAAAGTAGCAGTCTAATAGGGAAGAAACGGTCCTGAAGGAATAACCACCACCAGGATGTGACCTTGTTTGGTAAACAAACATATTCTTAATTATGAAGGAAAAAATGAAAGACAGCAGATAAATGTGGTTCTTTGTTCACATTTGGTTTTACATTCACAATGAGGTAGATATTCTGCCAATCATCTTTAGCATGAACAGAAAAACACCTTTATTTCTGCTTCTTTTATGCTTCTTCTCTACAGCTTCTGTCAATCCTTTGGTGCCTGGATGCGATGGACAGTTCTACGAGACGAAAATCAACCATTTCTGCATGGAGATTTTCCAAATGGATATGGGAAGATTGGATTTGGACTTGTGGTGCAGTTGGCCAGAAACCATGCAGTGAGTGTAATAAAAAAGAATATGAAACACTGTTTCTAAAAGAAAACCATTGTAATCCATAAAACCATCATTTCAAGTAGACATAGTGTTGCCAACATGTCCCAAGCATTTCTAAAACATTATGTTTGCCTCAGTCTCTTCTTAGCTTTTTAGGAAAAACAAGTCTTGCTCCAGATTGTTGTTTTTACATTTTATTCTTATCTATATATATCGACTATCTTCTAAAGTGCTGTTCCCCCTCTATGGTTGTACACCTTGGGAATGTCTTGAGCCAGTGGCTCAAACACATACGACTCCTCCACAGAACCTTTCCTCTTCTTTCCCTTTTTCCTCTGTCTCTGGCGAAGAATGTAAAATGAGATCCTCCAACCCGATACAACCTTCAGCGCAAAAACTACTGTAATCGCTGTTTCTTTATGTTTCGTTGTCAATCCCCCTGTCAATCTTAGCCGAGAC